AAATGTTCTGTTGATTTAAATGCTGCAGCATAAACATCACAAGGATAAGATGAAAACAGCAGAGAGCTATTATCTTCCCAAATGGCTGATTTCTCTTTTGAAGAGATTACTACACTATAGGCCTTGAGTTTTCTGAAGGTGCAGGAAAGGTGCCGTTGGGATGAGAATGAAGCGATGGGAGCAATTAAATGGATTAAAACGGGCCATCAATGTATTAATAAAATATTAATATGTAAAATGCGTATAAGCCTTGCAAACAAAGCCACTTCCGACATCAGGAGGAGGTGGGGTTGCGGGTTTCACGCCCCCAACATGCGCGCAGAGGCTGGTTTCCAGCCCCCGCACGATCAGGGGAATCCTCGGGCCTCATCATCCCCTGAGCCAGCCAATCAGCTGGCTAGGAGTATGTGGCTTGCCTCACTTAAGGCAAGCGCGGCCCCGGGATCTCCCTCTTTTGCCTGCGCAGCTGCTGTTGTTTCCCACCTGCCCGCCCCTTAAGGTTTCTCTTTTGACCTTGCTATGGACCTCGGTGGGTCACCGTTAAGGGGCCTGGTAGGGATTTTTTCCACTTAGCAAATTGGCACCGGCCATTTGGTTTTTCCCCTACCTCGTAGCAAATCATCACAACTCCTTTGATTTGGGCGGTTAGGCATTGGTAGGGGTATTGTTATGTAGATGTGTTGGGGGGGAGGAGCGCCATCACCTCCCCCAAATATTGAAGGGTAGTCTGGTAAAGGATTCCGGGGGATGTGGCCTCGTCCGAAGCCTATGGAGGTGAAGGCCTAAGGCACGCCCCTGAGTGGTGACCCTGGGGGAGTCCCTAGTTGATGTGCATCAGCAGGGCTTCCCCCTGCTGGTGTTAACCCTTCCCAGTCTTCAAGCAAACAGGCTGAAGCCGGATAGTCTGATAGGACCAATGCCTAAGCCAATACCTCTCTTACCTGTAACCAATAAAGTTGTGGCCAATTTTAGCCCATTAACTTAATACAATGGTGCCGCGTGTCTTTATTTCTATTGGGGGAAGGCGGGAACTTGCCACACAATTAAGTCCTGCAGTAACAATTTAGATAGTTCTGGAGGGAGGCTCATGTTGCCCTTGATAGGCTAGGGATTCCCCACGATGGCTCTATCAGTTCTGGAATTCTATGCGCAGGTCTGGTCTCTGGCATCCGTCCGTCTCGGGAGACGATGGAGGAGGGTGCCTTGGGGGGGAAGTCAAACTGTTGGAAGGTTGCAGTGTCTGCTGTGGCTGTAGAGACATGTTTAGTTGCAGCTGGGGCAGATGAAAGTGTCTGGTTGTGCTGCTGCAGATGTCCCATGACATTTCTTCTCTCTGTGCTCCACCCAGCAGTTATTTCTCCTCTGGTCACTGTTTCTGTTTCTCACTGAGCAGCTGCTGGGAGTCACAGGACTCTGTTTACATTCCAGAGATCTTGCAGTCTCACAGGAAAGGGAGACGGGATGTGACGTTGGTGGTTTCCAGTTTCCTTTGTTCCTTTGTTTCAGTTGCTCTCTGCTCTCACAGGGAGATGATGTATATTTCTTTGCTCTCTGCGTAGCTAGAAAATAAAGCATAGCAATGTAGATCATACTGTCTCATCCTTCCCTGTGCTGGGAACTCTGCTGGGAGGATGTGCCTTGGAGCCTCGTCAAAGGCTCGAGGTCGTTAAACACGTCGGGAGGTGATTCCGAAGATTAGCCTTCTCAGCTTGACCGAGCTAAGATTCCGACAGCCACTGCTATGAATGCAGGACTTGAATGCCTGTCTGCAGGCACTGAGGTCACCTGCAAGGGATTCCCATCTGGCAGAGCTGATGTGGCCAGCCTTCATGTCTTCATGTTTACAGTCATCTTTGTAATGCAGAGTTGGTCTGCCAACAGGCATGATGCCTGAAGCCAGCACCCCATAGAGCACATCCTTGGGGATCCTGCCCTCTTCCATTCTATGGGCATGACCAAGCCAGTGTAGCCGTCGCTGAGACAGGAGTGCAAACATGCTGAGAATGTGGGCTTGAGCACATCTTTGTTTGAAACTCTGTCCTGCCATGTGATACTCCAAATCTTCATGATACAGCACATGTGGGAAGGTGTTGAGGTGTCACTTCTGATGGTTGTCAGTTGCCAAGGACTCAGTTCCATAAAGCAACATGCTCAACACTCTTCCTTTAAAAAAAATATATTAAAATAATTCAACATTAATACATACATGTTACGAATATACAAACATACATTTCATACAATCCTTAAGAATATTCATACATATCCAACTCAATCTCACAAATACTTCATTTTCCCACCACCATCCCTCACCCCTCAGCCCACCCCTGTGATAAACTTCCAATCTACTCAATTGCAATTTCTTTCCACTTCTCTTACTTTCTTTCACATACTTTTAAACCAGTTTTCTGCTTCTTTTTCTGTTACACATTGTTATCCACCTTATTTAGTATTTCAGTATTTATAATGGAACTTGTTTATTCTAATAGGAGTTCTGATTTTTCAATATAACACTCTTCCTTTTGGTATTGGACGGTAGCATCACATTCTCCCATACTCTTTTGGAGAGGTGAGCCATTGCTCTGGCTGCCTTGCCAATATGCTTGCCCAGTTCAGCACTGGTGGAGAGCTGATTTTTTCCATGCCTAGTTGTGGCCTTGCCTTTCCAGAAACATCTGGCTACTGGTGAAAGCAGAATTTCGGGCAAGAGCAACCCCAAGCCTGATCTGGCAGGGCTCTTCAGATACTCAGTTCATCGGCTGTAAGAATCATAGCATAATTCCACTACATCCGTCTTTGGCAGGCCAAGCCCTGCAGATGGCTTTGGATGGCAGCGCTGGCTGGGGCTGTGGGGAGTTCAGAGCATCTGGAGGGTGCCCCAGGCTTGGTGAAAGTTCTCCCACCCAGTGAACTTAGCAATATCATCTCTACAGAGAATGCTTCTTGGATCTTCATGGTCATGGGTTCGTATTTTATTATTAAAACCACAGTGAAATACACTGTCCGTTACGGAACTATCAAAGACAGAATGCACCTCGTTGCTGCTCACCCGTTAGGGTCACATTCCAATAAAACATAAAATATCCACACATCTTTACAAAGGGGGCAGGCCAGCCAGCTTCTTTCACTCATTTTAATGCTGTTGGTTTGCTCATAAATATTGTTCCCTAGGATCCTTTTCTGAAGGCGTGACTACAGACATCCAGTTTACTATACATATTGTAGCAGTTGTTAATTAGATTTTGCACCAGATAAACATGCCTTGCTCTTTTAACAATGCCAATAAGCAGAGTGTTAGTGATAAAGGCTATGTACAGCTTATTATTCCCACAAATACTTTCTAATATCAATTCCCAGTAATTATCCGAACACAATCTAGCCTGTGTCCCACAGATGACAGCAGCAGCAATTATCTCAAACGCTGATATATCTACTTTTAATCCTTTTTAGTGTATTATATCACCTGCGTAAGATTTTATAAAAGCTATCTTTAAGGATTACTGAAAATAAGTACTTGAGAATCCCTGGACCCCTGTATAAGTCCAGTCCGCTTCTGACAAAGGTGGTTTTTAAATTCCTCTCTCACTTTAATCCACAAGACTTCAGTCTGCTCCTCCAAAAGGACTTTATAGTGGGGAGGGGGGACCTTCAACCCAGAGGCTTGGTGGGGTCCTCCCAGTCTCTCTGTCTGATCCTCTGGATTCTCCCTGGGCCATTGCCTGTCCCTGGCTAGATGTGTCCTTTAATTGTGATAATACTGCTTACTTGCCAAGATGGAGAGAATATTATCGTTGTTGTTGCTGCTGCTGCTGCTGTTCTCATTGCTGTTGTTGTGATTATTTACATTTGTATCCCAGTTTTTCTTCAAGGAGCTCAAGGTGGCTTACATAGTTCTCCTCCCCAGTTTTAGTGGGATGCGGGTGGTGCTGGGGTCTAAACCACCAAGCCTCTTGGGCTTGCCGATCAGAAGGTTGGCGGTTCGAATCCCCGTGACGGGGTGAACTACCATTGCTGTGTCACAGCTCCTGCCAACCTAGCAGTTCGAAAGCACACCCGTTGCGGCGGGAAGGTAAATGGCATTTCTGTGTGCTCTGGTTTGTGTCACGGTGTTCTGTTGCTCCAGAAGTGGTTTAGTCCTGCTGGCCACACAACCCTGAAAGCTGTCTGTAGACAAACACTGGCTCCCTTGGCCTGAAAGTAGAGATGAGCAGCCACACCCCATAGTCAAGTTTGACTGGACTTAACCGTCCAGAGGTCCTTTACCTTTTTACCTTTTACCTCCCCATTTTAGCCCCACAACAACCCTGTTGTTGGGCTGAGAGTAATTGGGTGGCCCAAAGTCAGCCAGCAAGCTTCATGGCCGAGTCGGGATTTGAACCCTGGTCTCCCAGGTCATAGCCTGACGCTCTAACCCCTAAGCCACACTGGCTCTTCCCAGGGTGGGGGGAGGCAGTGTAGAAATAAGACTGTGTGGCTGAGGTTTGCCTTGCTGTACAAAGGGGTAAACATCATCTTAAAGGTAAAGGTAAAGGGACCCCTGACCATTAGGCCCAGTTGTGACCGACTCTGGGGTTGCGGCGCTCATCTCGCTTTATTGGCCGAGGGAGCCGGCGTACAGCTGGCCAGCATGACTAAGCCGCTTCTGGCGAACCAGAGCAGCGCACGGAAACACCGTTTACCTTCCCGCCAGAGCGGCACCTATTTATCTACTTGCACTTTGACGTGCTTTCAAACTGCTAGGTTGGCAGGAGCAGGGACTGAGCAAGGGGAGCTCACCCCGTCGCGGGGATTCAAACCTCCGACCTTCTGATCAGCAAGTTGTAGGCTCTGTGGTTTAACCCACAGCGCCACCCGCGTCCCATCAGCTTACTAATGTTTAAAACTCCTGGTGTAGTGAAAGCAAAGCCTCCTAACTGCAGCCGAAGACTGAATTAAGATGCTCACTTGAGGAATCTGAAGATGTGTGCCTGTCCTAATAGTGAATGTTTTTGCCCTTCTTGCAGCAGCCCTGTTCTCCAACACCCACGCCAGTCAAAATGGAGCTGCTCCGGGCTCCCTGCCCCCATCACACTCGGTGAGCCACGCTTCTTCAGGGTACAATGTGCATGGCAGCCCCCACAACCCACCAACCCAGGTGCCCCCTCTCACAACAGGGGACTCAGAAACAGAGAGGTAAGGCCACAAATGGGGGTATTTTTTCTGTCCTGTCTCACTTAATTAGACCAAAGGGAGTTGTCTTTGGAATACTGGCTCAGGATTTCCAAAACAATGAAGCCTCCCACCTTTCCTCATGAACCCACCTGGACTGCCACCCTCTGATGGAGGACAGAGCTGGGAGTGCTGTGATTTATTTATTCATTTCATTTTTTACATGATCCAAGAACAGAGCATATCAGATATAGTATCAAGCAATACAACAATCCCATCAAAAACAATAAAACTCTCTCTCTATATATATATATGTATATATGGTTTAACTACTTTTCCTTACTGCAGAAGAAATACATCATAGACCCATATCACCAACACCTGCCTAAAAAGGCAGGTTTTCAGCTGATGCCAAAAACAACCAATGACGATGTCAGACAGATTTTAAAATAGAAGACATTCCTATTCCAAATCCTGCTGGCTCATTCACTCCCCAAACCTTCAATCACAATATATTGAGGCCCTAGATAGTAGGGAATAAATCCTTGTCCTTTCCCCCTGCACTAGTTCTGAGTTTAAAACACTTGAATGGATTTCGATGGGTTTAAATCTGCCTTGTGGCTGAGCAGTGTGTCATGCATAGAATGGCATTGTAAAAGGTTTGCTTTGTCATCATTAAGCCACACTTGTAATACACAGCTGGTTTTATCATATACGTATGCAATCTGCTAATAAATGTTACATAGCTATGCATTCAAAAGGCAGCTGTAAGTGATTACTGTAGGCTGTGAGCAGCTATTTGTTGCTGATTAGATTGTGATCTCACATCTTTACTTATGTCTGGAATGTTAGACATCACAGCAAGGTAGAACTGCATTTTCCTAGATTCAGTTTTCATCTGCAAGACATATAATTAAAGGCAACAATTTTGGAAAGAAATAAGTTGCAACCATTTCTTTCCTCCAGGTAGATTAAATGAGAAATTTCCTGTATCACATAATGAAAAATTAACTGCTTTTTCTAAAATAGAATGTTTGATATATGCCTCTTAAATCAACCGCTTTTCCTTTATAACCATAGACAACTGGAACATATTTTGCCGTACTGAATGTTTCTTTTTTCAGACCAGCAGAATTATTAGTAATCTATTTATATTTAAGAGTTTAGTGTAATTTTATATTCCAGAGAAATTGAAATATTAGAAATTAGTCTCTGGTGTCAAATTTGCATAACAAAAAGAACCTCCCCAATATAGTTCTTATTTTATTAAATGGTGTTGGTTATCTCCCAAATGTTTTTATACTTAGTTTGAGAGAGACCTTCATAAATAGAAGTTTATTGTGGGCAAATCAACTACTTTTTAGCATCCTGAGAATCTAACCTTAAATTTAAGTAGAGTGGTACCTCGGTTTAAGAACAGCCCTGTTTATGAACTATTCGGAAGTAGTGTCCCGGTTTGCAAACTTTACCTTGGTCTAAGAACGGAAGCCGAATGGTAGAAGGGCGCTGGCAGTGGGAGGCCTCATTAGGGAAAGCACACCTCAGTTTAAGAACAGTTTTGGTTTAAGAATGGACTTCCGGAATGGATTAAGTTCGTAAACCGAGGTACCACTGTACCTCAAGCAACATTTCCTGATAAGGTGTGCAATACCTTATGTCCTGCTCCACCCTATCTTGGAAAGCTTATCCAGATGATCAGGGCAGCATGTGTCCCTACCCCATTTTACATTTCGTGGAATAATCCTGCAAGTCCCAGTTCAGTGGACCCACACATAATGGAGTGAAGTGGCTTTGCTTTGTTGGTGGCGTTGCAGTTCTGCTGCTGTTCTCTTTCTTAAAAAAGGTCGATAGACCTATGTTTGCATTAGGATACCTGCAGAAGTTGTTTGCACAGCAGCTAAAATAGGCTAGTCTCAAAGCAAAGTCTGGATAGCAGGTTCAACTAAAATCCAGTTAAAGGGAGACATTTTTCTAAGCCGTAACACTTGACTCTGGTTTAGTGCAGGGGATGCCAATGCAGTTCCCTCCAGTTATCTGACAACAACTCATAAAGAAATCAGCCCTGTAAGGGTTGGTCTGGAACAACTATTGACCAATAAGCCCTTTGCAGGGGGTGGGGTGGAGATGGTGGAGAGGATTGTGCAGGGTAGCTGTCAGCATTCTTGGATCTTACAAAGTATGTACATCTATTCTAATCTAGGTTCAGGCCTGGCCATGGGACTGAGTTGCCCTTGATCACTCTGATGGGTGACCTTGACAGAGAGATGGACAAGGAAAGAGTGACCTTGCTTCTTGATCTCTCTGCAACTTTAGAGATAGTTTTGACCGTGGTATCCGAGAGGACTGTGTTGCCATGATTCTAGTCCTACCTCTGCAACCAAGATCAAAGAGGGCATTGGAAGAGTGCTTTTTGGCCCCTGGGAGTTATGCAATTATTATTCCCAATACTATTTGATATCTATATGAAGTAGCTGGGATCAGTCATTAGGAGTTTGGGGACCAAGGTATCATCAGTATGCCGATGACAGTCCTTTCCATTTTTCTGTAACATCTCCATCAGAAACGTAGTGGTGGGATGGATGAGAGAAAATAAGCTGAGCTGAAATCCTGGCAAGACATTCAGCTGCACTCCTACATCCATCCATAGCAATGGTTTCAATTATTTAATGTTTACAAAGGAAAATGAAGGGAAAAAATAGTAGACAATGAACTGAGAAGTAGATGAGGGATTACTGGAATATGGAGCTGATGCAAAATCAGACATATATATAAGAAAAAGACTCTGAGGAAACAGGAAAAAATTATCCGGGTGAAGGTACATCAGGAGGAATATGTCTAAACATAAGTATGAAGTATTATTTATAGCTCCTTTTTATTTTGATGACATCAATCCTAGAAGAGGAGCACTAATTAGTGCCCATTCTCAGGTTGTGTAGAGAAGGATAGTTGGATGACAGAAGCCTTTCAGAGTACAAATCACAGGAAAATTAAATGACTTGTTAATAGGAAAATCTACACTCAACATCTTATTGCAATGTGGTTTTAGGGTCAGCATAGCAATTTCCTCTCATGTCTGGGGAGGCAGTGAAGGGACGGTGTCCTCTTTTTTCTATTTATTGAGGAATTGTCTCTCAAGCTAAATGGCAGACACTGAGGAAACGGGGATCAATAAATCAAAGCTTGGGCCTCGGTGAACCAAGCTATCATAACGAAGAATGTTTTTCCTAAACCCATTTTTTAATGTCACAATTCTCTAAAGAGAGCGAGAAATACCAGCAGTTTTATGTTCCAGTAATTCATTTTATGGTATGTATTACTGCTTGTTCTAATGTAGGTTCAACTGTCAAGAAAACGAGGCTCTTTGCTCTTGCTGCTTTCCCTTGGAGATTGTTGTGTTTACAAAGGTGAAACTGCACAAATCCCTGATCCTAATATTTCCGCATATAGCTCATCTGTAAGCAAGTTAGTATCAAATTTGCTTTCCTTGCCTTTGACTCTGAACTGAGCTTGAGGACCAAACTACATGTTACTTCAGGAGATTCCATGACTAGATCTCCTAAAACGTCGCTCCTGTTAGTGTCAGAGACGTTACTGTTTGTAATGAAAAGTAGCCATGGGAGAGAGCCAGTTTGATCAGGCTGGAAGGACTGAAGAGGAAAGTGGTTTTATTCATTTGTAATTTGTACTTGATTTATTTCACACAGTTCTGTTCTGCAGTTTCACTGATTGGCAGCGTGGCAGTATATATTAGCCCTCAGGTCTAAAAAGGCGAGGTCAGCCCTGGGTTAAAGGGATTGTGTTATTATTTATCTATTAATGGCACCTCAAGGCGATGTACAGGATACCTGGGGATGCTACCACCCCAATACCAAGCAGTTTTCCCGGGGCGAAAAGATGCCCGTCCTGGATGTTGGCTGCCCTGACAGGGTGAAGAATAGTTTTAATTTTATTATCACAGGGTAGCAGCCAGAAGAGGACATCTTTTTATCCGGAAAGGGTAGAGGAAAGGGTTAAGAACAACTCACCACCACCCCTGTCACTGGCACTCAAAGGCATTACCTTCTGTGAAGGTAAGAATCTAAAGGGAGAGAACATCACTATGGATTGCCCAACTAGGATGCTCAGAGAAGACGAAATCCTTCTCCGAGTAGCACAAGGAAAGAAAACCGAGTGGGTGGTGATCAACCTTCGAAACACCAAGTTGTAGTTCTTGTAGGCTCGCAGTACACTTTCCAGAAATGTTGAGCAGGCAGTTAAGGCTTCCAGGAAAGAGAAGCGCCAGTCTAAGAGCAGAAGCTGAGACAGAACAGGAGTCTCGGCAGGCTTTCTATCGATAGCCAATAAGTAAGCAAATTTCCTTTGAGGCACAGAAGGAACTCTTCCCAGGGGCCTATAAACCAGCTCTTCTTGCCTACAAGTACAATGAGGACGGTCACATTTTCTTGTGCTTTGTAAAATAAAGTGTTGCTTCTATAGGACTTTCGGCAGAGCACTCTTTTGAAATGGTTTTCTTCGGGCAAGTAAAGTGCTGGGAAGAACGATATAGAACGCTCAAGTGGATAGGCAGTTAAAGAAACAACTATTCTGTGCATTGTTTGGATCTCTGGTAGTAAACATTTATGCGCCAGAGTGGGTGCCTCATTGCAATAGGGAGAATAAATCTGACATATTCCTTGCCACTGCAGAAGACAAGAGGATAGCCATCTAGGTCTGAGAAGAAGCCTGCTTTCATTGTGTGAAAATCAGGGCTGGGAAAACCCTATTGACTGGTTTATTGGACCCTAATTCCAAATTCCCCCCAAACATTGGCCTTATTGGCTTGGGCTGATGGTAGTTGGAGTTCAACTGCATCTCAAGGGCCATGGCTTCCCCAATTTGGGTGGTGGGTTAGATGCAAATATGAAACACACACACAAGCTTCTGGGAGCTCCAGTGAACCACACACTTCTGCTGTTGAGATTAAAAGCCCCTTGACTACCTCATTGTCGCAGAAGCAGCTACTTATTCCAAATAAAGCTTGAGTGTTTTTCCTTCAAAATTCACCTCCAGACTA